GTCCGGTCGAGTCAACGCCCTCGTGCGGCAGCAGCCCCCGCCCCGCCGGCAACGCCCCCCGCCTCTGCCGCGCCTGCACAACACCACCGTCTGAAGTCCTTGTGTGCGCACCCCCACCCCCCACAGCCCCGCCTCACCGGGTACACGCCCAGGCGAGTGCGCTCCGCCAGGCAGCCGCTGACGATGGTGCAGGCCGCCACGCAGAACGTCCAGGAGAAGAACCACGGCCGCGACGCCTCCCCGCCCGCCTCAAAGAAGAAGTGCGAGCGCCTGTCCAGGTTGCAGACGGCAGAGCGCAGCGGCGGGACGCTAGCGGTGGGCGCGTGCGTCAAACAGGCCTGTGGACGGGCGGCGGCCGGACGTTGGCCCTGGCAGGCGTCTCTGAACTCGTCGCCTATTGCCACAGACGCGCCAGATCGCAGCGCCCAGCTGATGCTGCCAACGGGCAGCAGCAGGAGCTCCCGCCATGTCAAAAGGGCGTCTTCTCTGCGTGTGCCGCGCCCCAGCGCTGCGCCTCACCCGATCACACCGCCCGCGCTGGCACCGTAGGCGAAGGCGTAGCCGACCGCCCACCAGCAGAGCGCGGCCAGCATCACATCCACCAGGTTTTTGAGTAGGATGTTGCGCACATTCTTGGCGCGACCGCTGCCTGTCTCGAGCGCCACAAAGCCGACCTGCAAGAGGGGATGCGAAGATCAAAAAAGTCCGGGGCGGCCTGAAGCAGTCCAGATCAGCAAAGCCTCAATCCGTAGGATCGTTCATGTCGCTGCGTGGCGAGAACGTGCATATCATTCACACCTGCATGAAGAAAATGAGAAACCTGCGGCAAGCAAGCAGGAGTCGCAGCGTAAGCGGTGGCACATTGTCGCGGTAACGCACCGGCAGCTCGCCCTCGCAACCAAAAGCGGCGCGCCCGCGAGCCTGCGAGGCTGGCACACCCCACAGCAGCTGCACTTCAATCAGCGCGGCCCTTTTCCATCATTTGCGTGGGCCGGAGCTCACCCAGAATACACCACCGCGCTGGTGGCGTACAAGAGCTGGTCGTCCGGGTTCTGCCCATCGTTCATCGTGCCCAACGTGACATTTGAATTGGATTGGGCGGCTGCTGGTAGGGCCCACAGGACAGCGCACAGCGCAAAGTGCGCGCCGCCCGCGAATCGGGTCATTTGAAAACACCGCGGAGCCTGATATATACTCTTATCGCATGGTTGGAGGGTATCGGCGCGTGGTCGCGTATGGGCCGCCACTTGTTGAGTCAAATGCCCGGATCTGCTGCTAGCTCTGTCTGCATACGGTACTAAGTACGTGAAGCATTGAGGCAAACTTTCAAGCACAGTGCACACAAACTTGAGGCCTTCTCAGAATCCGTGCAGCCCACGCTGGTCACCAGCACCGCCATCAAGCCGCCGCCCGATGCTATCATTGGCACTGTGTCATCAATCCCACCCCAGAGGTCTGTGCCACCACGCAAGCGTTGGTTCACTAGTCGATGTTCCTGTGGCTCCGTACGCTGAGAGCCATCTGTCGCTGCACGTGCATATGGAAATGGCTTGCTTCATTGCTGCCCGCGAATAGCTTAGGGCATTGCAAGTGGCCGTCCAGCTGTTTTGCGTATCCCTCATCCTGCTGCATGACATGTACCTGCTACGGTGATAAGACCCTCTCAATCAAACACATATGAGCATCATCGAGCAACTCCGATTCACGAGGGCGGGGTGTGGTGCACACAAATCTCTTTAACACCCCAGAGGTGAGCCTAGGCGGACGCAGAGCAGACCCGCAGTTATCGGTGGTCTTCAGGGCGCAAGGATATCAGGAAGCCACAAGGACATTGGCAGCACGCGCCATCACGTGCTTTGCAGGCCCTTGCCCTCGCTCCTTTGTCGCTTCAGCATTTCCGCGAAGAGGCTGGGCGCAGGAGAAGGCGGGGGCTCCCGGCGCGTGGCGCTGCCAGAGGAGGACCAGGACAGCCGCGATGGATTCTGCGTGCTGCTGGGTGATGACGGGGACTGCGGCTGCTGCGATTGTCCCATGGAGGCCGGCCCCGGCAGCGTCGTTGAGCCTGCGCCACTCTCCCTTGCTGGTTCGCCACTGCTGCCCGTACTGGAGGAAGTGCGGCCGTCGCCCTCCTGCCTCTGCAGTGTTGTGAGATGAGTGGGCGCTGCCTTGAGGCGCGTGCGCGGGCCAACTGCTCCCGACATTGTTGCAGGGGTGGATGGAGGCTGCGGCACCACGAGCCGGCCTGTAGTGCTCGTGATTTTCTGCCAGCGTTGGCGCAGCAGCTGGTGGCTGCCGCGCTTGTGCTGACGAGCCAGTTGCCTGCTCCGTGCTGCCCGACGCTGCAATGCCCGCATCCACAGCAGCAACTTGAAGTTGCCTAGTAGGGAGGCACAAGGGAGTGGCAGAGTACCCGTTGTTGTTGAGGGTTCAAAAGCTTGTGACACAATCGTAATAAGCTCAGCAGCCGCCGCCCACCCTTCCGCTGCTCGAAGCCGGTGTGCCCTTGCTCGGTGCTGTTAGGGAGGAGGATAAGCGCACCCACCTATCCGTGGTTGAAGGTGCGTCGATGTGCACTTCATCGCCGCTGCCCAGTGCGCTGCCAGCTTCCGCCTCAAGCAGCAGCTGCTGCTGTGCGGATTCTGGGGCCTCGACAGGGACTGCAAGCGCGCAGGCCTCGACTGCAGGCTGAGTACCAGGTGATGGCGGCGCCTGCTCATGAAAAAGCGTTGCGCCCTTTGGCGCCGCGCCTGGATCGCAACCTTCCTGATTCATGGATTCCAGTATGCTCGCATCTGTGACTGCCTCACTGGCCACCACCAGAATCTGCAGGGGCGCTCTGGGTCCTCGCGGCGTGCTCTTGACGTCGCTGCCGACGCTGCTGCTGCCACCAACACCGGGAGGCAAAACGGGCTTATGTTGCTTAGTTAGCCCCCGCAACCACCCCATAAATCCCTTGGGTTGCATGGAGGGGCCACTGGCAGCAGGCTGCGTGCTGTAGCCGAGCTGCGGCCCGGCGTGCGCCTGGCTGTCCTGCCGCCGAGTCAGCTTGCCGCCGCTCCTGCTGCTGTCTGCCAGCTGGGTTTCGGACTGCCGTGAAGGCATAGCACCCACCATCGAGTGCCGTGCAGCAGGCGCACCACCCCTGGCTCCCGAGGTGCTGGGCGCCAGCGAGTTGGTGTAGCCGGTTGTGCTGCTGGCCCTCCGTACGCGCTGGGTCGCTTGCGCCAGCTGCCCGAGCGCTAGGCTCATCTGCTCCAATAGCGCCGCATCCTCGTCAGCACTGTCGCCGAGCGACATGGCACAGCCGCTGCCTCTAACAATGTTGTCGCTGCCACGATTGCTGCCTGTTGACTGCTGAGGCGCTGCCCGTGTGCCTGCAGCGCCACGCCCGCTGGCGAGTCTGCTGCAGCTGCCCAACCCCTCGCTGCGGCTCCGCGGAGACGCTGGGACAGCAAGCGCCAGGTTTTCCATGCTTCCAGGGCGTGAGACCACATGCCTGGGAGCTCTGGCAGCGAGGGAACCACCCTTGCTGTCCTTACGAGGGCTGCAAGGTCCCCAGCTGGGGCCGCCGTCGCGGGCTTCACAGCTGCACTCGCTGCTGTCCTCGTCGCCGCCACTGCCACCAAACACCTCCGACGCATCCCGCACGAGAAACATTCCAGAAGAGCGCCCGGCTGTCAGAGCCTGCAGGCTTGAGGCGGACGACGCAGCGGATCGGCCTTGCTGGGAAGCGCTAGCAGCGCACTCACGCGGCGATGCGCGCTGCGCCGCGACTGACGCTGGCGGTGCTACGGCTGCCGCCAGCAGCTCCTCCCGCCCTATTAACGAATTTGGTGGCGCGACTAAGGACCTCCCGGAAACCTCGTGCGAGAGGCCCGCAGGTGTGCGGAGCCCGGAGGACGCCATGTACACAGCTGTGACGAGCGGTCTTACAATTGTATCACATCCTTGTAAATTTTATGTTTCAAAAGTGCTAAATCTATCAGAGTGTGTCGAACCGTCCACTGGGCGTCATACCGTAAGCATGAAGTTCGAATGCAGGGCAGTTTCGACAACGTTTGACGAGAAAGGGGTGATCTTTTGTAGGGTGATCACTGAGCTGATTGTGTACGTGCAGCTGAGTAGTCACATTGGCTCATCGACATGGGCGCAGCACTGTATGGTGCGTGCATGTGGCTTCCACTTGCACTGAGGCAGGGCACGCGGACTGCGATTTGCAATGCTGCTGCATTTTGTGCAAAAGTTGAAAGCAGATGCTAGATTACTGTACAGCAGGTAGAGTTTTGCGAGGGGGCAGGGCAAGCTCGTTTATATGGGTGGACAATCCTCTCACACTTGACTGGCCCCCAGAGTCAAACACCCGGGGTATTGGGCCAAGCGTGCTACGCTCAGGTTGAAGGTTGGGAGGAGACACGCATGGGGCCGGCGAACGCATGCTTTGTACCTTTAGCCAAGAGCAAGACACACACAAACTCTTCAAACCTGGTGTGCTGTCTCGGTAAGTGATTGACGGCATATTTAGGATAGAAGGTAGGTATACATACATCATCTCGCACTTGCTCATAGTAGCCACATGCGCTTGTCTTATTGCTTTTTGCTTCTTTGTCTGCATCTCATTCGCACAGCAAAGTCGTCCAAGGCAGTGGCCAGCTGCATGCTGAACACAAGAAAATGATGCATTGTGCGCAACCTCCCATCATGTCAGCAAGCGCATGTGCCTGCTGGCCAACATTGTGCTCGCATCTTGTGCACACTGGTGTGCACAACACAGATTCAAGCACTGCGTATGGAACCAGGCAGGCGGAAGGTGGTTACAGTAGCGGCTGGTCTTCTGACGACCGGCAGCATGGTCTCGCCCCTTCCAGTAGAGCAGTTCTCCGTCTTGATCGCAGCCATGCAAGGTTCTTGTGCATGGTGAGTCACGGCGGTGCATTCGTAATGGCGACCAGGCCAGCCACCTGCTCTTCGTGCATGAAATCATCTGATACACCATACCTCGAAATGTTACTCAGTACAAGCGGCATGAAGTTACATGATGATACAACCTGGTCGCCACTGGAGACACCCAGCACAAAAGCGACGTCAGTGTCGTTGATGAGTTGACTCAACGCTGCGCCGTGTGGATCAGGACGGGCCAAAATCGAGCGGGGTATCATAGCATTACCCATACGCCCTCCACCGGTACCTAATGATACGTCCATAGTCCAGTGAGTATCTTAGCTCTGGTCATCCAAGAATCGGACCGGTTGAAGCGCACGGTCTGTGCACTCGCAAAATTGAGTGCGGGCTGCGAGCGTGGTCGTTAGGCCATTGGTCCTCTCACAAGTCTCCACGAAGCCGCATTGCAATGAGCTTGTTAGGCAGCATGCACCGGCTCCGCGGTGCCGGCGGGTTTGGCGCAAGCACTGCACACCTGTCGTGGCGCATCGCCGCACCGCTCGCCACGCCTGCCAAACCACTCGCTGTTTTGGACCAAGCCAGCGACAGCTGCAGTCCTACGAGCACCTCGCTCATCGAGACAGGCCCGCTGCGACGGCATGTGCTGCTGGCTGCAGCTGCGGTGCTTCTTGTGGCGCCTGGCAGTTCGGCAGCAGCGGTCGCCCCACAGATAGGTGCGCCGCGGGGTGGCCTGCTACTTTGAGAATGCCGGCGCAGCTTGCACAGCGGCGTTGGCTAGTGGCCGTGGCCGGTAGGCTCCCATTGTGCGTCAGAAACACCGCCGCCGGGAGCAAGGCAGCGCCACTGCTGACACCGGCGTGATGGACAAGTGGCATCGCAACAATGACCCCCGTGTGTGAATGTGGCACTCTCCGTCGCCTACCAACCAGCCATGGCCTCTTTGTGCGGCTGTTCCTCCCTTTATCTAAATGTGACGGTAACGCTCTCACCCCAGCTCCGGTGGTGGTGCGTCCCGAGCTGGCCCCGGACCAGCGGCTGTACGACGCCGCCGACCCCGAGCTGAGGGCGGCGGCCGCGCTGCTGCAGGAGGCGCTGAACGCCTCCGACGTGGGGCGCGAGGAGGCGTTGTGGACGGAGGTCATTGACAGGCGCGTTCACGCGCCCTGATGCGGCGGCAGGGGAGAGGCGCAGCCCGGCAGGCGGAACCAGCAGGCGGCATGAGCATGGCTATGATTGCCTGCACACACGCACGCCGCGGTCGTGCCATCATCCATGCTGTTGCGCGCGCTCGTTTGTGGCACTCAAAACTTCGTTGTTCATCCCCTACCCTCCTTCATGGCTGTGTGCGCCCTTGGTCCGGTCCCGCCCACCCCACCGCCCACCACTGCAGGTACGGCGGCCTGGACCGCCCCTGGGTGGCCGATGTCGTCGGCCGCGCTTACGGCAACCGCGGCAACGCGCGCTCGCGGCAGGGCAAGCTGCAGGCGGCCCTGGCGGATTACAACACCTCCATCCAGCTGTGCCCCTGGAGCGTGGACCCGGTGCTCAACCGCGGTGTTGCACTGGAGGCACTCGGACGCTTTGAGGGTGCGCAGGCTTGTTGGGGGGACGGGCAATGCCGGGCAGACCCGTGGAGCGGAGGGGAAGAGCGAGACAAGTGCCATTGAGTGAGAGCTGCAACGCTCTGTTGTCCTGGGTCCACCATGTTGGTGACGCAATCGGGCCATCGTACCAGGGCTTTGCCCATTCGCACCAACACGCGGGTGAGCGCAGAGGCGTGCGCGGACTACCGTTCCGTGCTGGCGGCGGCCCCTGACGACCCCAGTGGATGGAACAACCTCGGCAACGCAAGCGCAGGTAGGGGGGGGGTTCGTTTGGTTTGGGAGGGGGCTTGGGAGGGGGCACGAGAAAGGACCAACAGGGATCTGCGTGATGCATATTGTACCGGTGATGGGTGGTTGCTGGGGCGGTCCGCTTGCCTTTGCATACGGCGTCTGACCCCCCGCCATGCTCCTCCTTTCCCCCATTCAGGCCTGGGCCGGTGGGATGAGGCGGTGGACTACTTTGGCAGGGCGGCGGCCCTGGCCCCCTCCTTCTCATTTGCCAGTGCCAACCAGGCCCTCGCGATGTACCAGGTGCAGCGAGTGTGGCTCAGGGGGGGGGAAGGGTTGAGGTGGCCTCATGGGTGCGTACACGAAGGGCGCGAGTGCTGCTTCATCATTGCATGCACATGAACGGCTTTGTCTGGTGCAGGAAGCATATCCAAGCAAGGACGCACCATTCTCGTTCCACGCTAGAATGTTTCGGGGCAACGCTCGCACGCTTCTTGCCCTCTGCTCGGCGTGCTCCCAGCCCACACCCTTGTATCATCCCCGAACAGGTTGGCAAGCGCGACCCTGCCATGCGCCAGATGCGGGCGCTGCTGCGGCGCTACCCTGATTTTGTCGACATGAGGGCGGCCCTGGCTGCGGCGCTTTGGGCTGCGGGCAAGGAGGGCGAGGCGGAGACCACATGGCAGCGCGTGGAGGACGCCAGGTGGGCCTGGGGGCTGCCAGGGTTTGCGCCTGTGCATATGGCTGTGTATCACGGCCTGCTTGCCCCAGGCCCGCAACCCCCGCTTCCACACAAACCCGGCCACGAGCCCGCGGCGCAGCTGACAGTCCTGCGGTGTTATTCCCGCAGCCTTTGCACCCTTATTGACGCTTCTTCTCCGCCCCTGCTCACCGCCCCGCAGGTACCGCGACGTAGCGTGGCTGGCGGGGCAGCGCCGGTGGCCCCCGAGCCTGGTGGCAGCGATGGACGCACTCATAAAGCTCAAGTCGGTGTGAGGGGCGTGGTTTGTAACGCCCTGTCTTGCAGTTATGCTGGGTGAGGCAGGATGGCCTCCTAATGCAAGGTGACGAAGATGAGAATTGGTCGGGTTTACCAGTATGTGAAGGAAGGAGGCTAAGACGGACCAATATGGCATGGCAAGTAGAGAGCAATAAAGAGGTAGTCAAGGGTCGGGCCGGGGCCAGCAAAAGTGCTTTTGTGATAAAACCATATGCTGTCAAGCAAGATCTTCTTGCCAAGGGAGCCGGCTGCCCTTGTCTCGCGCGGTCCCGTCCTAAGAAGCACCCTGCAGGCCCTCTATGGCCAGGAAAGCACCGTCCGCGGCGCGAACGACCGGCAGCTCCCTAACCACTGCAGCGGCGTCAATGGTGCCGTACAGGTGGGGGAACAGCTGCTGCGCCTGGGATTCCTTGGCCGGGGTGCTCCCCACAGGGGCGGCCGGCTCAAACACGACCTGAGTTGCGCGAGAGGGGCCGGGCGCGCAACACCGCAGGCCTGGGAGCAAGACGCTGGACGCAATGCGAGGCGCGTGGCTGGCCGCAGCACAGGCTGTTCACATGCAGCTCACACTACCGCTCGCAACCCAGCATGCGAGTGCGTGCGTGCTGCCCACCTTTGATGTGAGGCGCGTGCTGTCAAGCTCCAGCACCAGGAAGGCCCCCTGCACGCCGGTGTAAAAGTGGTTGGCCACCTGCGCATCGGGCAGCAGGGTGCCGCGCGGTCAAGACCCGGCCGTGGCGGTCAACATCGGGTCGGCAACGCCCACCCTGTACGCAGCAACTGCAGCAAGAGCGGGATGGCAAAGCAGCCCCCTGACCATGAAGCTGCCCTTGACAAAGCGCGCAGGACTGGCCTGGCTGCAATCTCCATACTCACGCTCGCAGTGCAGCGTCACTTGCACTGTTACTCACCGGCAGCAGCAAGTTTGCCTCCTTAGTAAGATGAATGAAGCCTATGTAGGTTGAAGGGTGCGCAGATACATCGCGTACATCATTGGTGCTACATGGCGTTCCGTGCATCTGACGAGCTGGTGGCAGCCAGCCGCAGCTTTTGGGTGGCACTGCTGCGCATTGCGCCGCTCACCATCGCTCTCAAATGTGGGTGGATAGTAGTCCTTGTGCTCCGCCTTGACTGACTCCCACAGCTCCTGCTGTACCAAGTGGTACAGCAACCCGCAGTCGTTGAGGGGGGCGGCCATCGTTTCGCTGGCAGCGGGTGGCTGGCGGGCGGTATCAAGGTGGCCGCAACAGACGTATCGACAGCTCTGGACACCGCAAGCTGCTGCGCCCGGACGAGGAGCTTTGTCACGAGTGCAATGTCAGGGGTGCTAGATGTGGCCTCGACGCGGGAACGTGTGGACTACGATAGCGTCAGCGTGGCAAGGCAGCTGTCGTCAGGTGGGCGTCAATGACTACCCTCTGCAGAATGCCACAGCCAACGTTCTTGCCAAGTTTACAAACAAATCAACACCCAATCAGACCTCGTTCTGTGATCTTCGACAAAAGCAATTCAGAGGCTCGGACCAGGATGCAGCTGAAGACGGCCCATACATTGGCCGGACGGACATGTAGAGGAGGATTCCCAGCTGCCCGCACTCCCCTTAGGTCGCGATGTGTGACACACCGTCCGCGCGTTGCAATCAGTGCAGCGGCGGGCGCCGCAGCCCTGCCGCTTGGCGCGGCGCAGCAGTCGCATGATTATTCGTTCTCGTACGCGAGTCTAAAGACATCAACTCCACCCGTGGAGCCGCTGCCCGCGCCGCCAGACGGCGCATCGCCTGCTTCCGTTGCGATGTACCTGGCCCGGCTGGCGCTTGGGGAGCGGCGCATGCTGTGGCGCGTTGGGCTGGCCTTTGTCTTCATGGTGAGCGGTGTCGGGTAGGGGTATGATGATGTGGCTGTGCGGGGTGGCTGACACGTGGTGGTTTGCAGTGGTGCTCACAACGCAGCAGCTCATGGATTGCACAGCCGCCTGTGGGCCCGCGCTTTGTGTGGACTGCGGCGTGCCGGCAGCTGTTTGCTGCTGCCGTGCGCTGGCACGACGCCCCAACCATGCGGCACAACCCCCCACTTACTGTGCTTCACTGGCAGGTTATCAGCAAGACGGCAGGTGAGCTACTTGGGCACGCCAACGGCATGC